TGAAAAATTTTTTCTTTTATCATATGATACTTTTGTTTCCAAAAGTTCTTTTTGATAATTCAATTCAAATAATATTTATTATTGAAATTAATCAAATATTTGTTAATTATTTTTTAGAAATTGTTTTAATTAAACAATTTCTTTTTCTATTAATATGAACATTTATCATTGTTAGTTCAATTTGATAATTTCTTTTTCTTTTTTTCTTTGCTTAGCTTTTAATGTCTTGGATTAATTAACTCGTTTTATTCAAAATTTTGCTTTAATTTTGCTCTTTTTTTGGTCTAAGTCAATATCTTGCCTTTTTTTTTACTTTTATCAGGGAGATGTGATATATTTTTTTTCTTCCCTTCTCTCTCTCTCTCTTTGTATCCTTACTATTTTTAATTATTCATTAAGAAAAAAATAGTCATTTCAGATATTTCATTTATTATTCACATCGTATGAATCATTCATCTCTTTTAGTCTCTTCTTCATTTTTCTATGCTGGAAAAAAAATAAGAATGAACTCTGAGTTATATAATCAGGAAGGAAAAAAAAAGCGAAAAAGATTTGGAAATTTGATACTAATATCGTAAACCGGAAATAATATGGCATTTCCAGAAATATTATACTGATTGGATTTGAAATTATATTTGCAAAAGAAAAAAAGGAAATATTTTTAAGATTTTTCCTTTTCGTTTCTTATAATTCATTTCCATTTTTCTTCCTTTTCCACAATTTCCTTCTTTCAAAACAAAAATAAAAAGTAAATTTAAAAAAAACTTATTATCAACATTAATTGTAATATTTCGGGTTTTCTTTCTTTCTCTTCCCACACTCTTGATTTTTAAAATTTCAATTTTAATTAATAAAAAAATCCTCGATATAATAATGTTGCATCAATTATTTATTTTTCCTTTTATCTACTTTATCTGTAGCTTTCATCCATGCGTTTTCAATTAATTTACACCTCATGATAATTCATCCGGTTGGTGCCATCCTTCGATTCCGGTTAATTCAAATGTTACCTTTCTTGATTGTCAAAAATAAAGAAAAAAAAATTTTTTTTTCGTCACAATACTTTTCAGTTGTAATAAATCCATCCGGTTAATTAGTATTTTATCTATCTAATTACTACCATACAGTGCCTTTCTTGACCGTCCAAAAAATTTCTTTACTTTTTTTTTTCTTATTACTACTAGGGAAAAATTTTCGACTTTTATCAAAAATAATACTATCACTGATAATATTATCATCCGGACATCAAACGTACGAATTAATACAAAGAGGTATTTTGTATGTATACACAATGGAAGGTTACTCCATCATTTACTCTAAATTTACAAGTAAACAATTCTAAAAATATTCTTCAAAAAAAAAAAAAAAAAGAGGGAATTTTTTTTTGGTTTTGAACTAATTAATATTTCTGATCTTTAAAGATTGTTTACTTTTAATTTGTTTATTCATATCTTTTTTTTTTTTCGGAACATTTAGTAAATGATAGCGAAACATTCCATCATTGTTTATTTATTTATTTGTTTATCTATTTTCTGAAGTGAAACTTTTTCTTCCTTTCTTTTATTATTATTATTTGTTAATGATATAATTTAGTTGTATTAAAGTCTCCTTTTTTTGCGTATACAAATTTCAAATTTATGCCTTTTAACGCTCAATTATTTTTAATGAGAATATTACAGCTTTATTTTTTGTATTCTTTATTCGTCGCTAGTTAATTAATTAATTAATACTAGCTTTTTGACTACATTCGAACAATTGAATGTAGCAAAAAAGAAGAGAAAAAAAAGCGGGTAAAATAGAGGAATATGTATTATCCTATCAAATTACAAATGTTATTTAAATTTGAAACTTATTGAAATTAAATTTGAAAGCTCAATTTAAAAAGTTACATTTTTAATTTCGTTTAAAATTTAAATTTATTTGCGAGTAAATCTGAAAGCAAAATTTATTTAAATGTTTATCAAATTCTGTATGGATGATAATGATATTGTAATGAACAAAAATGAAAAAATATTAACAGTCTTTTGTAACGACAAATAATTGCGATTATTTTACTGATATTAATTAATTAACTCTTTCAACATAGGCTACTTTAATTAGCCTTATTTTAGGACGTTCATTTATAATGCGAATCGTTTTTTTTTTCTTGATGGCTAATAACTGCTTACTTTTTACTGGTCATAATTAAAACAATTGGAATTTTATTTTTTACATAAAAATATAAATATCTGAAATTGGAAAAGCTTGATTAATTAATTTTATTAATTAGCTCAAATGTACACCTCTATTGCTTGATATTCTGTTGATTAATAATTTGATATTTTTTCTCCTTCCTTTTTTTTCAATTTCAATGTTTTTTTTCCTTTTTATTTGTGGGAATTTCCTTTTTCATTGAAAACCGGTTATAAATATTGTTAAATTTGAAATTATTATAAAAGATTTGAATTTATTCCATTACATGTATACAATGAGAGTATCGACGTAGTAGTGATAGTTCTGATAAAATTATCAGTGATATGTGATTGCAATAAATGCTTTCCGTATTTTATTCATCCAAATAAATGCTTTTATTAAATTCATTAATAGTTTGTCAAAAAGAAAAAGAAAAAGTTGAAATTTAATCGTTATACGATTATTGTATTCACTTTCCGCAATTTAAATAATATACTATTTCATTGAGTACTCAGGAATCTTAATTCCTTAGTATC